GTCCCTATATGGGAAATTCGCTAAAATTAGAGTTTTCTCTGTACACTGCTTAGAATCGTAAATGTTTCGGTTAGTTTCATCGTATGGAACGAGTATTACGATAGGAAAGCCATAACGCGTGCTATCTCAATTTCTGTATAAAAAGGTTTAGGTGAAAGGTTATAATACCCCCGCCGCAGCAAACCTGCAGACTAAGCGAATTTCCAATTGACTGATTGGATTTACACTGAAATGTCTACTTAAAAATATAACATTTATTCTCGATTTAAAAATTAAAAATAAAAGTTAATAATTAGTACCTTAGCCATAATGTTGTACCACTAACAACACTAACGCCTTAAGATTACTAAACATTCGCAAAATATCACAAATTAATAATGATATCAAAAACATACCCCCGCCGCAGCAAACCTGCAGACTAAGCGAATTTCCATTTGACTGATTGGATTTACACAGAAATGTCTACTTAAAAATATATAATTTATTCCCTATTTAAATAGAATTAGTTTAACAAGTACATATGTTTGCTAGTTAAACTGCTAGAAATGTTAATAGTTAGTAAGAAATAAAAACATTTTCCAAATTTGATCGAAATATGTTCATAAACAAGCAAACTACAACAATTGACTTATTCTCCATAAGAATAACATGGGAATTTTAAATTAAATTTTTGGAATTTTCTCCGTAACCATTAGGCGCATAATAACGCTTCAATATACTAAATTATTTGTTTTTTTAAGCTCTACAAAATGGTTTGGAAAGAAATTGCTAAATTTTATGTTTTTTTGGGTCAAAAATGGGAAAAACCTATTTTTACCCCATAAAACCCCCCGTAAACCCCCGTTCCCATGGTCCGATCATGCTGGATCGCGAACTCGTTCGAATAAACGTAGGTTTACACGTTTGTACCAAATTTCATCAAAATCGGATCATTTTTGCTCGAGTTATCGTGCTAACGGACACACATATATATGAATTTGAACGGATGGTGTTTTTGGCCTCTAGGGACCTCAAAATGAAAAAAATCGGTCCCGCGTCCAGGTCTTACCATGAGTACTACGGTAATAGCTTATTCCCTATATGGGAAATCCGCTAAAAAGTACAAACAAAGAAACAGCCAAGAATAAATTATTCACAAACACAATTGTAGCGTATTACAACAATGTAAATGATCACTGTTTTACAGGGTTTTGCCCGTGGTCTGTGTGTACTGTTATCCAAGTGAATCTTTCATATACATATTTCATTTGCAGTTGTGGAATGTTTATTAATATTCTCTACCCAGTTACTATAACATATCAATACTATTATGCCTGCTTCGGAAAGTCCTAGAGGAAGATGATTTGCAATTTCGACTAGGCTATATCTTGAGCAAACAAAACACCCTACATGACTTACACCACTTTTAGCTGAACCAATCTTTCATATAATATTTTCCAAAGGTACTATACGTGTTAACGACCAATTTTCCACTTTTGAGAGATTTTTTAGTGCTGGTTTCTGAGGAATAACTTTCATATAGTCCCAAAAGGCTTGAGACGTTACTGTATTTCTTTTTATAATGTAGAAGTACACCGATTGCAGGAAACGATGATGTCTGACATTTCAATGTATCTAGAAAAGACAATTAGTTTTTCATTAGGCCTAATGTAATGGACAACTCTTTCTTTCCTAAGGAATATCTAAAAATGTTTATTTGCATTACCCATTTGATACCTGAACAGGTGACTCAAGCAGTTTTACAATAATGATTGTTCTGTGGAACTTTTGATTGTTTCAAACAGTTTTGCTTATCAAAAAACCTCAAGTTGTTAATACATAAAAAAATATACAGTCACTAAAAATCATGAAATAATTTATTTTTGTAAAAAAATACAACCGACTTCAAACGCTCTAAAAAGAATGAAATAATTCCAATAAAGTAAACTTTTGTATTAGGCAAGCTCACGTATTTCAAGTCGGCGCGGCTCAAACTGCAAATATGATTGAAATTAAATATTGTGTGTGATTTTGAAAATCAATTAATTGTAGCTGGATAACATAAATAATATAAAAAAAACATACTAAACTGTTTTGTTTATATATTAAAGGAAATATTTTCTTGTATATTATGTTTACTTCAGAATAAATGCATTATGACAATAACACACACAAATGTTCTATATGAATATGAAAATAATTTAGTTTGATATTATGATAGGGAAAAGAAGCTAGTTTAGTATTAAAACGTTACTTTTCCAAGTTAGAAACATTTAAATGCGTTATAATCTTTTTAAAGATACTCGTTAATACTATAATGCCGATCTCTGATTACGGTAATAAAATAACCCTTAACGCATTAACTATGAAAAAGACATGCAGATTAACACCTTTAGTTATAGATAGTCACCTGCAATATGGACACCCTCTTTCAATTTTGTATCAAAAATCATCATAGAGCCGCGCCGATTTAAAATACGTGAGCTTGCCTAATACAAAAGTTTACTTTATTGGAATTATTTCATTCTTTTTAGAGCGTTTGAAGTCGCTTGTATTTTTTTACAAAAATAAATTATAGATGAGTACGGTAACGCCAAATCCTGAACATATAAGAGTGAAAATTTAAAAACGTACGTTTTCATGTCCCTGGCCTTTTACTTCGTAGATACTGGATTTGTACTTAATTATTATGTGTTTTTATATTTTTTGGGATGGGGGCAACATGTTACACACATTTATTTAGTTTTAAATAGGTTCTAGGTATTTTTTTCGTATTTTTAAAGTCTCGAAATTCACGACCATGACGTGTCCCTAGGGTACATTTTCCAACTTTCACGCTGTTTTTAGACTAATTATTCATGCCGAAATATATAAAGCCATATTTTTATGTCATCAATGGTTATTAAACTTACAAAAAAGGAGCATATTATAATTTTATTGTCATTGCAAACTGACTACCATGACAAAATAAGTCTGTCCCTCGATTTGGCGTCACGACCATTTGGGAAAAATTTTCCCAACTTTGGAGCACGACAGTGGCAAGCCTGGCGTCGATGGAGTCAGTTGGTTTTAGAGACTAGTTTGGGGTGTACGTCAGGATTGTAGTGCCGGTCGTTTCCAGTTGAAAGGAGGAATTACAAGATTAATAAAGGAAAGATTGTGTTTTTTGTAATTTTGGTGTGTCCATGACCGTACGTAGTCATTCGATGAAGTAGACATGGTGTTAATTTTTGTTTATAAGATATTTCAATTGCTAGATTAACCTAGAAATCCACTTTGTATCCTCGAACATGAGGTGCAGGGCTACCGCCAGAACAGAGCCAAATAACACGTAATTTCACGACCAAAGTTTCACGACCATCGCGGGTTTTTTCACGACCAATCCAGCCTTATGGATTATAGTGTGTTTGGTCGTGACAATAACTTTAATATAATTGTAAATTGAACAGTTTAGTTCAATTGAAACACATATTTTTATTATAACTAACAGTATAATTGAAGGATTGTTTAGGAAGATTTAGATTATTTCATACAATTCACGACCGTACCGCTTGTCCCTGACCATCACGTTTATGATTTCTATCATAAAAATTTCAAAAATTAAAATATCGTCATATTTCAATGTTTTATACACAAAAGAAGCACACCTATATACAAACATAACGATTTTTCGTGTCTCAGGTAAGTTTTTTCGGAGTTATACAAACTTAAAAAGATTTTATTGGCTTTTTTTCAATTTTTTGAGTTTTTTATTTTTTTCTAGAAAGACCAAATATACCAAAAGCTCAGAGACCTTTTTATTGTATAATGGTCATAAAAGTAAATTAGTTTATAGCAAAACATAGTTATAAAAATAATATTAACTAGTTTTAATATTCATTTAAACGTCCGATATGGTCGTGACAGGATTTTGTGTTTTTCCACTAAAGATGCTCTTTTAAAAAATAACTACCAAAGATATTGCGTTACCATGGACATTTTATGAAACTTCAAATGTTAATGAAATAAAAAAACTAATAAAAGTTTTGAAAGAAGTGGAAAACATTTTGCAAAGTGCTTTTCCTGAAAACGTACGTTTTTAAATTTTCACTCATAAATCAACAAATCCTAAATTAACACATAGACTTATTCACGTCTTAAATTTAAATTGAAGATTCCACAGCATTTTAGAGTTTAAAGATTTGTCTAACTCTTCTAAAATGTTAACATTAAAAATTTGGACGTCCACGGGGAGTAACCAGATATGACTAGGCCTACGTGTTAGGTACTGTAATTGGGTTATTAGAAATTATAGATAAAACATAGTCTCTCAGCTATTAACCTACAAAACCAGAGTAGGTAGTTTAGGTGTGGTTGAAAGAACTGGGCGCTGGGAGGCAAAACACGATAATTCCTCGGACGATTCGGTAACGGGGATATTCCCCGCGAGCCGGGTAGATGCAGGGAGACGTCCGCTCAATTACCCACCCGAACCAGTTTTGTCCGCCTCACGCACTGTCCGCCTCAAGCACGTCCGGGGGAAACACGGCACCAACTCAAAGTAGATTTAGGGTAATTTAGGGTAATTTTAGTTCGCCTTTAGGGTAAAATCGCAACAACGAGGTGGCAACACTGTTTTGGTTAGTCTATGCTAAGCTACTACGTGGTGGAGGTGGTCGGTGGAACAGAACAGTCGCAGGATTGCAGGAACACGAAACGACGAAACGAAACGAAAGTTACGCCATTTTGTTTTGTTAAAATTTTGTGCATCGTGCAAGGCCAACTGCCAAGCCAAGTGCAAGTTAGTTTAGTTAATTATATTGTGCTCAGGTTCAGGTTCTACTTCTCTTCTATTGTAAGGTCAATAGAGAAATTGCAACTAGGGTAAGTTATCTTAGCACTGTGGTGCAATATACCACCTATTTGTCCATAAACCGACTTGAGATTTTTACGACTGCTCTTTTCGACATAAAACTTAGGCCTAGTGTTGTCGTTGTGTGACTGAATAGCCTAGGCCTAACTTATTACAACTTCGCTAGCGATTCTTCTTTGTCGCAAGGGTAGGCTTAGACTAAGTAAAATAGTTACTTAGCCTACATTGCAAAACTTTCATGAGATTTTTTCACCATCAGCAAGTTTGGTTGGTTAGGTTAAGATAGGCCTAGGCCTAGTCCTATTTATAATTATCGATTATTAATCAATATTATTTTATAATAGATATATTTAAAAATATTGATTATTAACCCTAGCAGTGGCCAATGTTATAAGTGGGGGTGGCAAATATTTACTGTATTTACATTGGGATATGATGTAATTTTTACATGTCTACTTACAGTATTTTTAACGGTGAATCCAAAAATGCAATCAGTTTTTGTCGGAGAGATTCCTTAGTGGCCGTAAAACGAAGGTTAGGATTACGAATCTAAGGATAATTGAGCGGTACTGAAGGTGGTAGGCTAATGGTAATATGGCGTGGTCTGGACGGGTCCGTACTGAGTGAAGAGTGAGGACTGAGTGAGAAGAGCAAACAAATGTTTATACTTGATCTTATGCGGAATGAAATCAAATCAATTCGTTTTGAAACCAAATAATCAGTTCTTATTTAGGCATGTGAGGAAGGTAGGTCGGGTTTTATGCGGATTCGTGACTGTATTAACCCTCCGAGTGTCACGCGTCATAAAAATGACGCACAACACACTTTGTGTAGGGTCACGCGTCACTTTTATGACGCACAAACATCGTTTACGGCGAAGGCTCTATGACTGACTGAATCGGATTGAACTGGATCGAGTTAGGTATCGTTCTTTCCGTAATATTCTAAGCTTTCTCCAGAGGTCTGTCTCTAAGCGCTATTCATTTTAGTTCCGAAAATATTGTAGCAGACAGCTGACGTGCGTGTATTTGTAAACAGCTAGGTTCCCCCGGACCGATGACTGATGTGTTTTATTACGTTTATCATTGTTTTAGTGTTAAAAATCAAAAGTTTTTAGTGATATACGTGGTGCATTATAAGAAGATTTAAGTGGTTTTGAAGTGCTGGTTGATGATCCTGAAGAAGTAGGTACCTAGTGATATTGATGTAAATTATCAGCCAGATTCCTAGCTATGGTTAGGCTATGCATTCTTAGCTAAACGCTATGTACTGAAATCCGTTTTTCGCTCATAACTTATTTATTTGATAACTTACCTCGCTATATGATTATATATTTGTAATCCTCATTAAATTTAGAACAAAGTGGCTATTTTCAAATATTTATAGGCCTATAATTTATACAATTTCATTGAGCGCGAACTTATTTTTTTTTTTGAAAATTTTCGAAATTATAGCCTATTTTTTTTTTACCTAAAAATTTTTTTTTTTGAAAAAATGTTCCTTATGTTTTATATATAATATTGAAGCCCATGATTTTCCAAACAAAATGGTATATAGAACATTAGAATTAACATTGTTTTAAGCTTCTCAGATCCGTTTTAATAAAACCTTGCAAAGGGGCCAAAAATAGGTGGACATTAAGGCCTAAACTATGGACACTCGGAGGGTTAAGTGTTTGAAGTGAGGTTAGATTAGGAAGGTAAAGGTTAGGTTCTAATGAACCGACTCATTATGTAAATTTATGCAACTTCCAGACTGTTTTTGCACCACCATTTCAATTATTGTGCAAAAACAGTCTGGAAGTTGCATAAATTAATGAGTCGGTTCAATATAACCGGCAAATATTTGAAATATCAACAACGCGATATTATGTACTTTTTTGATGTCTACTTACAGTATTTTTCACGCTGAATCCAAAAATGCAATCAGTTTTTGTCGGAGAGATTCCTAAATGACCGTAAAACGAAGGTCAACATTACGAATCTAAGGTTAATTGAGGTATACTGATGGCAATAGGCTATGGCGTGGTCTGGACGGGTCCGTATGTGGTCTGAGTACTGAGTAAGGGGGAGTTTGGGAGAGCAAACAGCTGTTTGTATTCGACTTATTGCGGAATGAAATCAATTCGTTTTGAAACCAGAGATAATCAGTTCTTATTTTGGCATGTGAGGAAGGTAGGTCGGGTTTTATGCGAATTCGTGACTGTATTAAGTGTTTTGAAGTGAGGTTAGATTAGGAAGGTAAAGGTTAGGTTATAATGAACCGACTCATTAATTTATGCTACTTTCAGACTGTTTTTGCACAATTAAATAGTGGTTGAAACACAATGAAACAACGATGCTTGCGCATTTTTGATATCGTTATTTCATTGTGTTTCACCCACTATTTCAATTGTGCAAAAACAGTCTGGAAGTTGCATAAATTAATGAGTCGGTTCATTATAACCTAACCTTTAACTTACCTAATCTAACCTCACTTCAAAGGACTTGATACAGTCACGAATCCGCATAAAGTCCGACCTATCTTCCTCACATGCCTTTTCTGACATAAAATGTGATTTAAACATTACTATTAAGGTTGGGTTGGGTTAGGTTAGGTTAGATTAGATTATGTAACATCATTTATTAGTTGCTGATACATTAAATTATGCACTGTGGCACGTTTTCACTTTTAGACACAATGGGATTATGTACTATGGGATTATGCACTATGGCACGTTCATTAACAGATGTTGAGGCATTAGTCAATGATTTAGGATTGGAATGAGGACGATGATCATGTCGGCAGTGGCCTTACTTCTATTACTGATATTTTACGTGAATAAGTTTATGTTGATGTGATTAATAGTTTATGTATCGTAGTTGATTTATTGTATTTTCTAAACAGCACCAAAGTCCATTTTCTTTTAAAAATCTAGTTATTGCATATTGTAACTCTGATTTTGCTCTCATGGCGTTGTGTGTGGTTTTGTCTGTTTAGTATAGAATGTAAACAACTGACAGCTGTTTCCACTCTTCAAACCTTCCACCCCTTTTAGTGTTAGTCGCCACTAGTCTGTACCTTCTGTATCTATACTCAACTAGAATTAATAGTACCTATGACTATGACATATTGCGTAGCTCTTAAATTTAAAATATTATCTTAAAGTCAAGATTTGCAGTTTTAAAAGTTCCTAATCAAACCATGCATTAATTTATTATCAGTTTTCTTTTGTTTTTAAAAATAAAATGAACAGTAGTACTGTATAATGCCTTTGGTCATTTTTAATTTTTGAAATTTTGAAAGTGGTGGCAGAGAGGGCTAGTGGTAGAGAGGGGGGGGGGCGAAAAAACGTCAGACTACTGGTGACTAGACCCTTAATCAGGCCCTGATTGTGTGAAATAGTGTTCATAAAAGGTTGCATTTTGTTAGCATCATGTCCTAAAATGACGATTCTGACATTCAGAGATTGTTGTACGAGACGGACCTTAGTTCGCCATGCTATATATGCTATATAATGATATACCCAAGGTGTTATACATTTTTATAAAGGTAAATGAATACACTACCCTACAACATGTTTATAATGGTTTGGGGGTAAAAACTTTGTAAAAAAGTTATAGCCTATACCTACTAAATAGGCCTACTGTATTTTGTTAGCATCATGTCCAAAAATGACGATTCTGACATTCAGAGGGGCTATATATGCTATATAATGATTTACCCAAGGTGTTATACATTTTTATAAAGGTAAATAAATACACTACAACATGTTTATATTGGTTTGGGTGTAAAAAATTTGGTAAAAAAATTATATAGGCTACTAAATACTTTACACTCCATTTTCTCGAAATGCGCAAAAAATTCAAAACGTTCTCAAATTGATACATAATCATAGGTGAAAATAACTTTTTACCATCATACTTATGACTTTTTTGGATTCCTTACTTCATTAGCTTTACAAATAGGCTACATATCATCAGCCTACATAATGTTTCACAACACAAACAAACACTGTAGGCTATAGTTTACACTTATTTGCGGTTTTGCGGTTATTGTATTATTATGTCCCTATTACGTACTGTACCTACAAAAAAATATTTCTAACATGTTATACATTTTTATGTAGGTAGCCTAATTGAATACACTACAGGATTATTATGTTGGTTTGAAGTAAAAAAAATTTTGTACAAAAGTTATATACAAAATACTGTGAATATTTTTTTTTGAGAAATTGCTAAAATATAAAAACATTATTTTATATACATATGTTTATAGGTAAAAAATTATTTTTACCATAAACTTGACTTTTTTTGATTCCTTACTTCATTAGCTTTACAAACATGTATATATCATTATTAGTATACACATATATTATAGAACTTTTTACAACATAAACTAACACTGTACGGTTTTCAATTTTTTCGGTTCCCCGTTTGTCATTATATTTCGCCCCAAAAACTTATAAAAAAAAATATTTTCCTAACATGTTATATATTTCTATGTAGGGAATTAGATTGTCTACAAAATGTATATAATGAATTTCCCATAAAAAATCCGTAGAAAAAAAAATAACAAAGCCGCTTTTGAAATTTCAAAAAAAAAATTCAAATTTTTTTATTTTTTTCACTTTACCGATAAAATACACTGTCTAAATCATTATGATATTACTATTTCTAGATTCTCCTGTTCTTTCCGAACAAAATGAATATGAGGTTGGATAGGTTTACTTGTACGGTTGAATTTTTACGAATTTCCATAAAAAGGTCTGCGAAATCGCCAAAATGGGTTGGCCATTCCCCACTTCTAACATTGGCCACTGCTAGGGTTAACTTACCTCACTTCAAAGGACTTAATATAGTCACGAATCCGCATATAGTCCGACCTTTCTTCCTCACATGCCTTTTCTGACATTATATGCGATTTAAACATTAATATTAAGGTTGGGTTGGGTTAGGTTAGATTAGATTAGATTAGATTATGTAACATAATTCATTACTTAGTTGCTGATACATTAAATTATGCACTGTGGCACGTTTTCACTTTTAGACACAATGGGATTAACTTATGTATTATGGGATTATGCACTATGGCGCGTTCATTATCAGACGTTGAGGCATTAGTCAATGGTTGAGAATTGGAATGAGGACGATGATCATGGCGGTAGTGGCCTAGCTTCTATTACTGATATTTTACGTGAATAAATTC